ACCAATAAAAGCTAAGTTTCGGCTTTATTGGATGTTGTTTGTTGTCAATCAAGTACGTATGCATGTGCAAATTCCTGAAGTTATAAAAATAACTTTCCTCTTCAATGGGTTGCTAAAAATAAAAAAAAAATAAAAAAAATGAAAAGCCAAGTGGCAAGTGGCATTCTAGCCGAGCGCCAGACACTTAAGCAAGATAAGTGGCAGCTAGCACCATAAGCCGAACGCCAGACACTTGCTAAAAAATGAAAAGCCAAGTGGCAAGTGGCATTCTAGCCGAGCGCCAGGCACTTAAGCAAGATAAGTGGCAGCTGGCACCATAAGCCGAACGCCAGACACTTACTAAAAATTTAAAGCCAAGTGGCAAGTGGCATTCTAGCCGAGCGCCAGGCACTTAAGCAAGATAAGTGGCAGCTGGCACCATAAGCCAAACGTCAGACACTTGCTAAAAAAAAAAAAAAAAAAAAAAAAAATGAAAAAAAAAAATGAAAAAAAAATGATGAAAAAAGCCAAGTGGCATTCTAACCGAGCGCCAGGCACTTGAGCAAGATAAGTGGCAGCTGGCACCGCAAGCCGAACGCCAAGCACTTGCCATAAACAAGCACACGACAAAGTTAATATAAAAGAAAAGAGAGAAAGGGTATATATATATTGAAAATGGGTTTGAACAGAGCGCAACACAAAGGAAAAAGAGAAAAAGAGTTCTGTCATCTCATTCATAATAAGCATTGAGTTTACAAAAAATGAAATATTCAAGTCACATTGTTACAAAAAAGTATGGAATCGAAGAGTCCGAAGGAGTCCTAGCTAGCTGCCTCAGTACCGACAGCATCCTGGTTGTGCCGACCCGCCTCCTCGGTCCCATCAGCCGTCTCACCCTCACGAGGTGGGGAATCAAGATGAATAACAGAGTCATTCTGCTGGGGGCCAACGTCAGCAGTGGCTATGGGAGGTACCACAGTTGACGATTGAGGAGCGGTTAGAGGCAGAGCGGTGGAGGAGCTGTAGTGATCCTTGAGGAAGCAATGTCCTGGCACTCATCAAATATGTGCTCCGCTTCGGTGGGTTCTGGGTCAACATAGACCCCCAGAGGGTCAATCCCTAAATCCTTATCGACCTCATCTGGAGTTGAGCTGGTCTGTCCCTCATCCGGAACTCGGTCGGAGAACCTTCTCGGAATCCTTGAGCATATCTAAGAGCGCCGACCCTTGAGAACCGAGCATGAAGAGCCAGCATCCCACCGTTCACTCTGCTGATTGTATCAATCAGAGCAGCACGCTCGTCCATAGTTCTCTTCTCAAAAGCCATCCGAGCAGACTGTTCATCAGCCAAAAGGCGCTGGAGCTCTGCCTTTTTGTCTCTGATTGAATCACGCTCAGTCTGCCAGACGCTCTTTTCAAGCTGGAGGGCATCATTCTCATCCTGAAGAGAGTCGTTCTCCTTCTTCAAGACATCTCTTTCTTGTTCAGTTTTTTCAAGCCGAGCCAATACCTCGGTATTCTTGCTGACGAGAAGGTCGTTTTCCTTATTGGCCACCTCCAGGCTATCAGAAAACTTACGACCCTGGCGTTCCCCATCTCTACCTGCTTCTGCATAGCCATCATTCCGAACAAAGTCTGCATAGATGTACATTAATAATGGTTAAACCGATAGTCTGGTCGGGCGAAGGCAAGACCAAATAATATGAGAGAATTCATGAGTTGGAAAATAAAAGTCACCTCCATAGCAGATTGGGGAAATTGGCTGAACACATCCTTCTGGGATAGGCCTTTCGCCGCCTCAAGGTCTTTCGGAGTCCACATGCTCCTATAATACGCCATGGCGGTCTGGCCATCCTTTAGCATGGTCTCGTTCGGCTTCACGAACGTCCCATCCGTTCGGGTGTACCGAGGAGCCCATGGTGGTAAAGTGGGAAGAGAAGGGAAGCCTGAAGCAGAAGCAGAGGCACCAGCTGCAACAGGCCCAGAGGGAGCAGGAGCTCTGACCGGGCGATGTAAGAGAGCACCCGGCCCAGAGACCCGGGTCCTTCTTGTGAGAGGTTCCTCCTCAGGGTCGACTCCACTGTCAGGATGAGGCCTTTTGCCTCGTTCTTTGTCCCGAGCGCCCCCAGCGGCAGCAGGGGCTGTAGTGATTTGAGGAGACGCGCTCGGGTTGGTAGCAGGGGTGCTGACAACAGAGTCAATAGCCACCGTGCTCGGGATGGTGTCAGAGATGGTGGCTGAGGAAGAGGCTGATGCAGGAGAGGAGGTTGCCCCAGCAGCAGAAGTGGCTGGGGGAGTATTTTTCTTCCTGCCAAAAGAGGGAATCTGAAGCCTGCTCATGTTATAGCCGAGGGATAAGAGCGCTAGGAGGTTGTCTGAAGTGAGGAGGTCTGAGCAGGAAGGAATATCGTTCAGAACGTATTTCTTCAAGTAATTACTCCTATCCCTGCAAACACTGTAGCTCAAGTCATCACAAGGTATTCCTAAGGGCGGCATATGAAAGTACAAAAGCGAGGAACGCATGTTTCGCAGGGGCAATCGTTTTTGTGAGATTTGAATTTCTTATATGAGGAAACAGAACAGACGCCAAAGGCGCTCGGGATTGGGTAATCCTCTGCAGCCGGCGAAGACCAAGCCCCACTAATGCCCACGATGTTATCCCTCTAACCCTTTTCAGATTTGATTGTGTCCGTACATATGGACATCTTCTCGATCGGGTAGAGGTGGTAGAAGGGCTCGTTAGTTCGGATCTTACTGACCTTATAACACAGAAGAAGATCTATGAGGTCAAGGTCCAGACTTCTGTCATGAATCAACAGTAGCATAACGGATATGATTCTAAAGAAATTGGGGTTTACCTGCAGGGGGGATATCCCCAGTCTATTGAAGACATAATTAAAGAAGGGGTGCAGAGGGAACCTAACGACATTCAGTTGAAGGTTTGAAAATAAAACTTCGCCGGGAAGGAGGCCGGCACCGGTCATAATATTAACATCCTTAGGGCAAACCCTAACTTGGATGTTGTCAGGAAGTCTAAGTCTCATACGAAGAACATCTAGATCTACAACCATGGTGGAAGTGTTTGAAGGATCTAAAAGGGGTAAAAAGAAGCCTGCCGAAAGTAAAAAGGAACAAAACTAACCTCTGAGGTAGAAAGCAACAAAGAGCACTGCAAGACCGCTGGAAGAATGACTCTTGAAGGATTTCACCGGAAAAAGCTTAGCACTGTTCTAAAAAGAGAGAGATTTGACTGATGATGGAGACGGTAAAAAGGCATGAAGTGGTATTCTAGAGCCTTATAAAGGCGAGGGGGACCCGAGGGCCGAAGCGTCAGGAAGGCGAGAAATTCATCGAGCCCCGGAACATTGATTCTGGATCTGACCATCCGTTCCCCCATGTGGGTTTCTCGAGCCGTCAACGTCATGATGAGACGCCTTCAATAATTACCCCCTTATTAAACAAGGGGTAATTATGGGGGCAGTTGAGGAGGCCCGAGATGACATGGGCCGGATATGACTTGCAAACGCGACATTCAGTCCGTACAGATGGGTCAGGCCCATAGAAAGACACTGTCATATTGGCCGAACGCGCATAAGCCCATCAAAGATGACCGGGACTCATGGAGGAACGGGCCTAGATCCAGCAGTCCATCAACATTTGCAAATCTCTATAAATAGGAGAAGTAATGGAAAGAAAAGGGGAGATATTTTTTGGTTGAAATACAGGAATTCTAGAGAGAGAAAGAGGGAAGGAATTTCTTGTATCTTCAGGTATTTTATAAATATTTACAAATTATATGCATAAAATAAAATAAAATATAGTGAATTCAAGGATAGAGAGGCTATTTTATTAATTTTAGAAAGGTGTTTTATTAATTTCTGCAAATTTATGTATAGAAAAAAAAAAAAAAAAAAATTCAGTGAGCCAGCATGGGTCCCTGGGCACATGCATGCTCCGCCCCTATCTTTAAGTGTATGGCCTAATTCTAGATGATCAAACTTCTTACTATCAAAAGTAACTTTTTTTTATTGTATGTGATGAAAGTAATTTTCATATTTTTAAATATGCCATAACAATGTGTTAAAAGATTATTTGGTGTAAAATATACACGTTGTGTAATTTTTGTTTTTTAATTTTTTTTTTTTTTCAATAATGTGTTAGAGCATCTTTAATGGTTGTCTATATATATTTTTGTGTTAGTATGATATGTCATAATAGATTTGAACAAAAATTTTGGAATAATTTTTTTTAGTTCCAACTATTATTTTATACTTTTTGTGTAAATATATATCTGTCAATAATAAGTTAACAATCAACCACGTGTCATGTCCAAACCCATATAACTTTTACAAACATACTTAACAAATCAATGTAGCCCCACCAATGTATAAAATTGTTGTGTATTTTGTACAATTCTTTTATAGAGTCACATCCAACTATTGTCATGGTATGACACGTGATTAGTTTGTTATTGAGAAATGTATTTTTATACAAAATGTGTAAAAAAGTGATTGGAGCTATATATATATATATATATTAGTCCAAAATTTTTATGTATATATATTTACAAAAAAAAATTATATATAGACAACCATTGAATTGAAAATGCTTTAATAATTTTAAAGACAATATATTTTAGATTCATATTCTAGAAGTTGGAAAATATTATTTAAAAAAAAAAATTGAGAATCTTATTCTGTTGATCAACAAGTGATTCGAGTGGAATATTCCGGAAGAAGGTGCCATGATGAGCTCATACCGAAAATAACGACCTAAGCAAATTGTGGGCCTAATTGAGACCCGATTACCTTTGGAGGAAATTTGGGCTTTCGTTTAGGCCAATAGCAAACCCTAAAGTTCCCAATGTGTGGTATATATCTCAGCATCTGCCGCCCACACCTTCTCGCCTCATCTTATTTCATTCATCAACATGTTTTCTGGTAGCACTTAATTATATGTTCTAATCTGTCGATACTATATATATGTATATATTGCGTTAGTAGTTGATTTTTGTGAATAATGGGGCGATGATGACAGAAATCGTTTCTCGATTCTGATTTTGGTTATATTTATTGACCATTATATTGCTATATGATGACACTGTTTGTGCGTGTCTGAGCCTTAGTTCTGTTTATGTGTGTGTGTGTGAATGGTTGTTACTTCTTAAGTTTCTATGTTATTTTGCCTTTGAATATAAATCACTGTTAGCATGGATGTATTGAGAGAATTTTTGGGGGGTTTGCAGTGATTATAAAGTAAATTCCTCGTTCTGAATGCTAAATAAAAAAGCATGAGAGACTTTTATTTACACCCATAGAATCTGAGCAGCCCCTAATTTCTCCAATGCTTCTTACGCTCTGTTCAACCAACCCATTACAGGGGGAAAAAATCTAATTTTCAGAAAATTGCTGTTATTGAATGTTGTTTTGTGAAGAGAACGGAACAAATTTTCAGATGAAATTCTACATGACGTGCTTAAGCTAGCCCTTTTTATTACTGTATGGAGTATTATTTAGGAAAAATTACATAAAAATGGAGTTAAAGTTACATATTTATTTAGAGGCTGAGTCAAAGTTTCATATTTCTCTAAAATGGATTGCTGAGGTGGCACATGGTTTTTTACTGTTTAGAAATTGTGGTGCCTAAAATACCCTTCCGCGAAGGTACTACTTTTTCTTCGAAGGTACTACTTTTTTGAACTGAAGGTACTACTTTTTGGTGTCCAGGTACCATATTTTTTAAACACTCACGAAGGTACTACTTTTTCTTCGAAGGTACTATTTTTTTGAACTGAAGGTACTACTTTTTTGAACTGAAGTACTACTTTTTTGTTAGGGAAGGGCATTTTAGGCACCATAATTTTTTAAACAGTAAAAAACCATGTGCCACCTCAGCAATCCATTTTAGAGAAATATGGAACTTTGACTCAGTCTCTAAGTAAATATGGAACTTTAACTCCATTTATATGTAATTTTCCCTATTATTTATCATTCCATAATATGGACAAAAATGTCTTTTTAAGTTTTCTAAACTAGTCCTTTTTATTATTATTAATCATTACTTTATATGGATAAAAAATCATTTCAAATTTTTTAAAGGCAAAATTAAATTTTAAGCATGTCATGTAATAATAATAATAATAATAATAATAATAATTATTATTATTATTATTTATTTATTATTATTATTTTTTAATGACAAGAAGGCTAGTTGTAACCATTAACAATGGTCATTTGTTTTACATCGGCTTCGGATGGAAAGTATAAATAAGTGGGTATGCAGCATTATTCAACATAGTTTAAACTTTTGGATAAATGGGCAAACGCTCACCTGTTACAGTTGGTATTAAAATCAGACTCAATCTTTGATTTGATGTCACGTCAAGCACTCGACTCGGAAAGCGTCCAAGTGAGCCACTCCAGGTAGACAAGGTGGCCCGAGCCGCAACAAGGACATTGCGAGTATGGACGGGGGAGAATGTAACAAGGGTCATTTGTCCCACATCGGACCCGGATGAAAAAGTGATTGGATATAAATGGATATGCTTCCAATATGTTGAACTTTTGGATAAATAAGTAAGCGTTTATCCGTTGTACTAGCCTAGTAACGGTGGGCTCAAGCTTGATTCCGTCCAATAAAGACGGTTTGAGCTCGAATTTAGCTTACAAAATTAATTCTTGTTATGAGCTTGGCTAGATAGCTCTCTACTTTTTTCTTTTGAGAGAACTAGATTTTCAATAACTTATCACAGTTTTGATTTCGATGGAAACAGTAATCCCCAAAATCTATCAAAGTTTTTTTGAAGAGAGAAATGTGATTGGAAAAAATGACCTAGACCATTGAAGTTGAGAAGATAGGTTAGGGTTAGATAGATGTGTGTGTGTGTGTGTGTGTGTGATGGGCTTGGTCATCTTGGCTTCTGTTTTGTGATAGAAACAAAATTGTTTGGGTTGGTTTGGGTTTTGTAATGGGTTTTGTTTTGTAACTAGACAAAAAAATTGAGTTGAGTTAAGAGATTAAAAGCTTTGGAGATTTTTATAAGTGGGCTTAATGTATATTTTCATAATTTACATATATACACATGTATATATAATACATTTTTTTAAGCTTTAATCAGTCTTTGTTCACGAATGCGTTCACGGACAAACGAGCCGAAAGAGTTGTTTGAGTTTGATTCGTTTATTAATCTAGTTTTAAAATTTTGTTTGAACTTGGTTTATTTATTAAACAAACAAATACGAACTGACCTTTTAGTGAACCAAGTTCGAGCTATTTGTGCTTGGTTCATTTACGATATTGGTTAGAGTAGTTACTCAAACTAAGGCCGCCTTGGAGGTTAGTGTAATTTTTAAAACTAGATGGGGAGGTTTTTGTTATTTAGGCATTCAACAGAGGAGGTTAGTGTAATTTAACAAAAGAATATAAACAAGGTTGGCATCCTAAATCACAAAGGGTAAAATGACTTGTGGACTTTGGAAGCGCTCCGTGCATTCTCGTATTTTGCTGCTTTCGCGCTCTTGTGCTCTTGCATCTGCTCCTCCTGTAATGTGACTTAGCTTTGGATTTGATATGTTAAATATAAAACATTTTAGTATCTTTATGTACAATCAAACACCAAAAAAATGTGGAAAACATTTCAACCTTGTTTGAGAAGTATTTTATTTCGAAATAAAAGAGTCTCAACTCATTAATTTGAAGTTTTTAATTAGATGGTATCTCAAAAAATAAAAATCCTTCCATTTGATTTTTCTTCAAATCATAAAATATGACTTAAATGTGAATTTTTAAAATTCCGTTAGGTTTTTCTTTTTTTTTTTTTTTTTTTTTTTTTTTTTTTTTCAGCACAAGTTCATTTATGCTATGGTTCCCAAAATGGATGATCAATTTACGTTGATGAGCTAATTTTTGGACAATTAATCTTACGGCAGTCATATGTAACAAGTAATGGGTATAGGGTAAGATGTTGCAATAGGCTGATATTTGGGATAGAATACAAGGGCTGACTGGCTGAGAATATAAATACCAAGTTGTAAACACGACTCTTTAAAGAGAGATGATCATTGTAAAGACATGATAAAATTTCCGAACAAGTTTTTCCATCCATAAAGAATTAAAAAGATGGTAAAATTTCAGATTATAAGATTCTTTATCATTGAACATTTACTTCCATCTTAACTCCACAATCAAGAGACTATGGAATCGCAAGGTTTCTTGTACATTGCTAACATCTTTTTTCGCCTTCGCCTTGATGCTTTACAAATCAGGGCTTTGGGATTGCGAAGCACTTCTAAAGATTGCCCAACAATATTGGTGTGATAAAAGTTTAGAAACTCTTTCCTTGTGTCACCAAACCAAGGGCCATGTGAGTTCACACACGCACACAAAACACACACATATATATATTAGTCCATCTGTGAAAAAAAGAAGCTAGAGATTCTGTGCTTGGCAACCTGCTTGTTCCCAATGATGGGCTTGCTTTTCCTTGGCAAAAACTTGCCACTATGATATTCTTTTTTAGCTGACAACCAACCCGGACAAATATCCTCTCTAGTGGAACAGTAGTAAGGGAGAAGAATGAGTGCACAGATCCCTTAGAGTGCATTCCAAACTTGACGAAATATGATCTGCTCTGTTCACATGAGAGGATTTTCTTCCCAACCAACCCAAATGGTGTTTGATTGGTTTTAACTCTGATCCTTTGATATGCCACCATCTGCTTCAACTTTGCAAATTCTTCTCCCTTATTAGGCCCAAAAGAGCACTGACATTGGCACTTGGATAACCTCCCTTTAAGGGATCTGTGCACTCATTTTTCTCCCTTGTTAAGCAAAGTATTTATATCAAAGATGCAACATTGTATGTTACATTTTATTGCAACGATATCACACTATTAAATCGAGAATTTAAACCACTCATGTAGTTGTTGCTTATTTCATTGGAAACAAGATTGGCATACAGGAGAGGATTCTGGTTCCAGACATTGACCCTCCCCTCCTCCCAATGCCATCTTTAAAATTAATGCAATATACAATAATCTCAGAAAACTACGATGTATTTGGCAGCATATGATGATGATGATGATGATGATGAAATACTCAACTTACATCACAAATGTAATAGGCCAAGTGGCCAGCCATTTCATTGCATCTCATCGCAAGTAAGCTTTAAGCATGAAAAAAAATTGGCAGATGACACTGCATAAAGTACAATGAATATATAACATAGAGAAATGAGATGCCTCTTGGTGTTTCCCTACTTTTCCATGCCAAAATTCACAAATGCCTGTTTCAATTCCTAATGTGCCAGAAATACCAATGCAAATTTGATATCAAATTATGTTTACAAAGCATTTATAAGTAATGCATGCCTGTTCGAATGATTCAATAATGTACAACTAAGGGATTAAGATAACACATCACAATAAGGTTGCACTGAATTATAACATTAATTACTTTTAGACCCAAATAGAAGCAGAAATGGCTAATGCACTTTGATTAAACAAAAACAAGATAAAACATTGCAAACCATATTAAACAGAAACAAGAGAGAGAAATTACTAAATTCAATTGAGGTGTTCTAAACTCCCTCATTCTTCTTCCATTGACTCTTATTCTAAACTTTCTCACTCTTCTACCATCAATTTCATTTTCTTGCTTTGCTGATTTGCTCTCATTACAAGGATGGTACGGAGAAGGAACTTGCTAGTGTTGAACCCAGCCCGTCATCACAAAAGCTGCCATACTCATTGGTCTTCTTGTCAGCTCTTGGACTGCTTCCTGAACTGCTGTTTGAAAGTGAAACGAAAGTAGTCTTCTGCAGGACACCTGTGGGGGAAGATCCCAATTGAGTATTGCCATCCCATGCTTCATTCACGAGTTTCATAGCTGATGAATTCTTGCAGGCTCCCCCAGTGCCAGAGGTGCCGTTCAAGACCTCTCCTAACGGACCCCCTATTGAACTTCCCCAAGAGACTAGTACACCATTTGTTTGCTTTTGAAATGTTTCGCTAAGGTCATTACTCATCCCCAAACCCATTTCAGTTGGGTCCAATTCACGAGATAGCCGAAGCGGTGAGATGGCTATTTTCTCTTGTAGGGTTGGCGATGATGTTGACGAGAAGTTGGAGGTCATAGGAATTGACATTGAGAGCTGGGTCCAATCTGACTTCAGTTCTTCAGGCCAGGCAGTGGTGATACGATTGGATTGGTCCTTGGGCCAGTCATCAATGAATTGGCGAAGTGAATGTTGGTCACGGGTTTTTTGGTCACCGAAATCCACGAAAGAGTTATAGTCCCTAGGATTGAAGTAGGAACTTCTCTGTGAAGGATTGAGGAAGGTATCATGAGAAACAAGTCCAAACTCTGGTTGAGAGAACCCATCTAATGGGACATGTCTTTGAACGGAGAATCCAGAGCCTTTAGGCATCAGGTTGATGGCAGGGGACACCATGGACAGGTCTTGGGGATTTTGTCTTCTGTCACACACATTTTAAAGTTTAGAAACAAGCATAAGAAAAGAACAAGGACAGAGATGAAGTAAAATCACAAAGCAAAAAAAAATGTCAAGATTTACAAGCCTCAATGATAAAATTGAAAAGCTCAAAATTATCTTAAAAATAAAGAACTCAATCCATAAAAATTGAACATGGGAGACAAGTACAAAGTCTTCTTAGAGAAGGAATCTCAAGTCTCACAGTAGAGTGTACTATAGAATAAAGAGGAAAAAGTAGGAACTATGCATGTTGTTTATATCAATGATCCAATATGAATATATAAAACTCAATATGGAAAATGAGAAAGTATGGAATCTCAAATTCATGAATAGTATTTTGTATTTATTTTTTACCTATTGATGAGAGCAACTGTAGAAGGATTGGTAGCACCAGGCTGCAAGGAGTTGAACTGGTGCTGCATGACATTGAGGGTGTTGGATGCACTGCTGCTGGACACTACCGATGCTGAAGTTGAAGAGGCGATTGGTGTCACCTTTGATGTAGTGGATCCAGAGACAACATGGCCAGTCTGGCCTTCCACATGCTTTCTTGAACGGTGGCGGCCCCTATTTATGTGCCTTTCACAGTACTTCTGGTCAGGAACTGCATCTCTTGAGCACCGCCATTTCTTCCCATCCGTACGACGACACCTCCCGGGCTCAGGATCATTGTTGCCAGAGAAACCTAGATGGAAAGAACCCCATCCGACTGCACGTACCAGAAAGGGGGGAAAAGCAAAAAACAAAACACAAAGACAGTAGACAAAATTCAACAGAAAGAAGACGAGTTTTGCATCAAACAGTCTTATAGCTAGGAGTACTTTAATTCGTGCATATAGGATGAGGAAAACCATATGAGTTAATGCAGATAAATCTTAATTGCTTAAAATAGTAAATGGTATTAAATTATAGGGGAGTAAGACAGTATCCTTGAGTAGCAAATTAAAGATACCAGAAGGTCTGATATAATAGGAGAATAAGATTGTAAGTAGGAATGAAAGGATTGGGTTCTAAAAGTTGGAGGACAAATAAAAGATACCTGTTACCTTAACCTAATAAACAGAAGTTCATATTCCAACACAGCAATCCATATACCAAAAATAAACAAAAGGGACACAAACAATTAAGCATAAATAAAAGGAGAAATCATCTTATTTCTGGTCTTGAATTCAAAGGGGAAAAAAGAAAAAAAAAATTTGAAAGGAAGAGAGCAAGCTTACATGAATTGGGGGCATAGTAAGAAGGTGAACCGGATAATCCGAATGGGTTGATGGATTTCTTGAGGGCAATGAGCAAATTGGATGGAACAGGCACATTTGCCGTAATGTATTTATAGATCAAGGCCTGGTGCTCCAGCTCCATCCACTGAGATGGAGTAAATGGCCCTCTAATCCCAGGAAAAGACCCATGCATGCCTGCATTGGAGCTTCCAGCACCATATCCTAATACATAAAAAATGAAGGCAATCAATTGAAATTTATAGAACAAGCAAGAGACAATAACTAAAAGTGACAAATAAGTTACTGTGAAACCAGAAGAACCAAAACCCTTAAACTGTTTTGACAGCTAAAAAGCAAGTAATATCTGAACATGAAAATAAATCCAAGTCCAGCATGAATTGGCAGCAACATTAAGGAAGCTTCGAATACAGAAAGAAAGACATAAATTAAAACAGGAGACAAAGGGAAAGGATCGATCGAATGAAACCCAACCGAAAATCTCTAGCCTTAGAGAATCTTATTGCTTCCCCTAACCATTGATGCCCATTTTGCCCCTTTTGTTCAGATAAATCTAGATTCTAGTGTTACCAAAATTTACCCTAACCATTGCAGGATAAATCTAGTTGTTGGTGCTATATATATATATATATATATACATATAGAGAGAGAGAGAGAGAGAGAACCAACAACTAATTTTAAATTTGACAAGACTCGAAACCAAAATTTCTATTAAATGTCTATGAAAAGACCCATCACCTAGTAAAGGAAAATAAGCCATGTAAAAATACTAAAAATCCCATTTTGTGCAATGAAAAATAATGAAAAATTTTCCACCGTAAGCGATTCTCACAAAATCACCATCCAAGCAAAACCCACATATCAATTTGACCAAAAAAAAAAAAAAATGAGAAAGTAAGTTTTAGCAAAACATTTATATACCTGTATTTCTAGAGTAAGAATAAGGCGAGTGTTGATAGTAAGGAATGACTGAGTTTTGAGTATTCCTGTAGACTAATCCACCATTTTTACTGGGAAAATGAACTTCTGATTTGGGTAAAGAGAAGCTGAGTATGTTGTGGTGTTGGCCACCGCCGCCAAGAGCAGCAGAGAGCAAAGAGTTAGATCTCAGCAGACCAGTCCCCTGCTGATGCAACATTGTCTTGGGCGGCTCATCAAAGCCATCAGGTCTGGCCATTTTGGACCTCCCCCATTCATCTTCACCAGACTCAGATCCCTCCTGCTTGAGAAACCCAGATCCATTGTTCTTTGGCTTGATTGCCTCCGTGTCAGAAACTACCTGATGAGAAGATACTCCACTCTCTGGACCTACTAAACCCTCTAAACTCACCACCCCAAAATCCATATTATAACGGCCACAAATCACAAAGCATGAGTTCGTGAGAAGCAATCGAGAGAGAGAGAGAGAGGGGTGCAGTCTAAGGTGACTCTGGGGATTTAAAAGCAGTGATCTTTGAGAAAAAAATAATTGGGGAGAGAGAGAAAAAGAGTTGAAACTTGGAACTCAGCAGCAGACAAACTTGTACAAAAGACTATCTCCACATTTCGGACATTATGCTGTTGCTAGAGCAAATTTCTCTAATTTATAGGCCTCCAAAAGAGAAATTGAAGTTAATCAACAATAACTCCATTTTAATAAAATCTCACTTATCCATCTAGTAATAGATTTTTTTTGGGGATGTTACAATATTACTAAAATCTCCCTAACCTGAATGAAAATGGAAAAGAAAGGATTTTTCCTTTTTTTCCATTTACTTGTATTCTCATTTCAGTGATATTGCCGCGAGTTGTTTTTTTTTTTTTTAACCATACTAAAATCTACAAAATCATAATGATGCACAGAAAATAGGGTAAATTGTATTTAACTCCCTGACTTGTGTTGTTTTGCAGTAAACCCCTTTTAAAATTATTATGGCAAAAAAAAAAAAAAAAAACCTCTAATTAATTGACTAACTGAGGGGTTACTTTTACTAAAATACCCCCACCAAATCAATGGTGGTTTTATTTAATTTGCCTAATTGTGTAAATTTAGCTAAAATATTTTATTTTATTTTATTTTTCCCCTTTCTTTAATAATTATATTTTAACTTATGTTTGTTGTTACATGTATCACTACACTTTTAATTAAAGAAATGCATAAAAATAAATTAAAAAAGTAAAAGTAAAATTCATATTTATCAGTAAAACTACATGTTATCTCTTTAGTATAAGTCTCGTCTAGTTAAATCCTGCAGTATCTTTTCTCCACATTTTTTTTTCTTTCTATTCAATCAAACAAAATGAGAGAAAAACCTACACTTTTATAGTTTTATGTCATTCAATTAATTTTTTGAATTAAAAATAGTTTTTGTCAATCTAATTATTTGGTCAAATGGTTATCTCGTATACTTATATATATATATATATATATATATATATATATATATATATATATATACATTCTATAAAATGAATTAAAAAAATAATATACATAATATAATAATGATATATATAATATAATATGAATAAACACATAAGATTTCACTTTATTTGTAGCTACAATCGTAACTATGAATTCTACTTTTAATTTTTTTTTATGCTTTTTTTAATTAAAATTATGGTGATGAATGTAACAGAAAATAATCATGGGCATTGCGGGCCAATGGTATCTTCCTTACTTTCCAAAATGGATGGTGAGAGTTCGAATCTCTAAAGAAACAAAGTGGGTGTGTAAGTTTCTTGCCAATCACAAAAGAAATATATATATATATATATAACAGAAAATATAAGTTCAAATTTTATTATTCAAAAAGAAAAAAAAAATGGAAAATTTTAACTAAATTCACACAATTAGGCTGGGTAGGGGTTTTTGGGCAAAAAAAAAAAATCTTATTTTAAAGTTGGTGGTAAAAATTTGAGCAAAAAGGAGTTCTAAATACCCACTTAAGCTTCAATAGATTTAACAAGTAATGTACAATCTAGAGAAAAATCTTAGCAAGTATCTTATTTACCAAAAAAGAATGAAAAAAAAAAAAAGATTTTAGCAAGCATAAATGATTTAATAAATGGTTATTTTAAGAAATTTAATCTGTCAACTACCTGAAGCCATGATCTAGGTATTGAAAACATGTACTAATATTTACTAAAACTTTTGATGGTATTTGTTCATAATATTTCATGTTGTCGGCTCTATCTCAATGAGATAATTAAAGACAAAGATGATGATAATGATAGTGTTCATGATATTTTATGAATTATATCCTATCAATCATGCATATACTGAATGACATCAATTGAAACGACGTACCTTGAAATTTATCTCTTTCAGTCCATTAGAGGTAGCAAACTTACCTCCCTCGTTTTGAGTCCACGTGTGGTTGCAAAGTAGTACTATTAGGATATTAAGGTGACTACTGACTATTTAACACAAGTTCAATTCCTTTGTAGAAAAAAAACTGAGATTCAAGTCCTAATAGAACAACGTGGTTTATAAGTAATAACAGCGTTGCCACTATGCAATTGATGCCATTAGAATAAAAAAGGAAGCAAAAACGACCTATTTATTTATTGATGATCTAATTAGCTCACCCTAACCAGTGATCACTTCAATTTTGAAAAAAGTTCAACAATCTCAATCTTGATGTAGAATTTATTTGCGTCACTTGTATATCAATTGTTGTGTTTCTATTATAGACGATATTTTTATATTTAAATTTTGTCACCTTCCTCCTCCTCGTCGATATTTTTCTCACATTTTATTCGTTGCAGCATTTTCTTTTAAAGTCAATGCTCTTATTATAATTGCTTTTGGACAATAATAATGGCCGTCACTCCATTAAAATATATAATGGATTAAATTGTCAATAAAATAAGAATCTCAATTTTATCATACTAGTCATGTAGAATAGTTGCATTTGATATATCGAAATCGTTATCTCATGATATGACTTGTGTTGACGTGATTTAGTAACATTTAACATCACTAAAAAATGAACTAAATGGTGTAAAATCTTACCATTTAAAAACTAAAGATAAAAATTGTATAATTTGAACTTGGCTTATTTCCTTGACAAACAAACTCGAATTGTTTACAAACATAAAACCTTAATTAAAAACTTCTTTAGATAACAATTATAAGTTATATATATATTTGAAGAAGCAAATGAGTATGCAAAAATGGAATGAATGTCATTTATCTTCTAAAAAAATACTTTGACAGCTAATGATAAGTTTATAAAAGGCCAAATACAAGTTAAAGAATAATTTCAAGACATTTGGGGCTTCATGTACAAATATGTAAAATAAGAAACAAAAAGTGATAAAAAAACCAAATATAGTCATATCGTGAGAAAATGGAAGTGAGAACTTTAAGAAGAGGACCAGTTAGTCATTTCAGTGAATGGGGCTATTGATGTCATTTCAATCTCATCTAAGATAATTAAGATTTTATCTAGAGTTTGAATAGGGTTCTTGTCTTCTTGTTAACAACCTGCCTTTCTTAAAGACTTCCACTAAGTAGCGTTCATATTATCTGTATCTGTGTCTCATGCCTTATCCCTGGATTTATTAGCGCAGGGACAATGCTAAACCGCGTGTGGGTTAGCAAACCAACAACAGTGCACTCCCCACGTGACTTCACAGTTCACACCCCAAACCCTAGTTAAACCCCTTTTTTACATTGTGTCATCAAACAAACAACTTCAAACTATTCCAATCCTCCACTTCTAATTTGTCCATATTCGAAAGTAATTTGGAGTTCGGGGAGTGATTGGATGAGCAGACATTGAACTCTCTACCACGTGGCAAACGACGATTAGTCAAGATCAGAGATATTATAGTTTGACTTTGAAACTGTCCTGTCATTGTATGTATTGATCTTAAGTTTATCTAATGATCTTAAGTGGGGTGGGGTGGTTTGTAATTTTGTACTGTATCAAATGACTAGCGAGAGGCATGTGAGTTGATGGTATCTTTGGACTACTCTGAGTCGAGTTCAAATTTTATCGCAATGTGGAGCGGCTCTTTTAATTGTTGAATGTGATGACGTGGCCGATTTAATGGATGATTAATACTTGAAAATTTTGATTTATTGCAAAATTTTTTAAAATATCAATTATTTTTTTAATAATTTTTTAATTTGCAAGAAACTCATGTATCTTTGTACGGCAAAATAATACACTAATATTGTGTTTGAGAATATCCAATTGATATTTTGAATTTAGAATTGAAAGAAATTTAGTACAAAATTGTAACTAAAATTTGTCTTATTTCAAATCTAAGTTACTGGTTAGGTGCTTTCAAACTTAGCATAAACTTATATTTTTTGATTTTAATTTGTGACCATCTAATTTGCTAATGTGATTTTCAGACCAACATCGTTATTTAAGTTGATTGTTCATAATATTGAGTTTGTAAATCGATATTCATCATAAAAATATATTAATGAGGCATATTGGTACATCAAATTTTTTTTTTAATGGTTCCATTTAATTCCATGATTTCCATCCTATCACATGGACTACATATGAAGTAAAAGAAGACCATCAGGTTAGTGTCCTACCAATTTTTATGTGATTTTGAACTACTATTTGACCACTTAACCAGTGGATGTGAAGCTTAATTGTAACATTAAAGGTACACATTTGAATATTTGATATTCTATGATAAATGAGTTTCACTTAATGAATTCAAATAAATTTAGTCAAACTCTAATTTGTTTAGTACTGTTTGACTTATAAAAGCCATGATATCATAATTCGTAACAAGTTTTTTCTGAGTAATATCTTGATCATTATTAAACTCTAACTCAAGTAAATTGGATACGTATAGAATTACCATGCTGATATATTAATAAACACGATCCAAGTTAGTTTTGTTTTAATCACATTTACAAATTCAACAAACTATCTAAATAACAACATAACCTCTATTTAACTGTTATTTATGGACATATTAACTAATGCGATAAAGTCACACTGAATACATTATTTTCTTACTTCCCCATATAGAATTTTAACAAATAGGTAAAATAAAATGTCTACTTCCCTTGAATTCCGAATTAGCATCATCTCCGAAATAAATAAATAGGAAAAGTGTAACAATGATCATTTCTCCCACGTCGGATCCGGATAGAAAAATGATTAGGAATAAATGGGTGGGTATGTAACATTGCCCAACAACTTGAACTTTTGGATAAATGAGTAAGCGTCCACCAGTTACAGTTGGTATTAAGGTCAGACCCAATCCTTGATTCGGTATTACGCCAGGCAAGCAGGGTGGCCTGAGCCACAATGAGACTGTTGCGAGTTTGGATAGGGGATAATGTAACAAGAGTTATTTGTCCCACATTGGATCCGGATGGAAAAGTGATTGAGTATAAATGAGTGGGTATGCAGCACTACCCAACAGCTTGAGTTTTTGAATAAATGGGTAAGCGCCTACCTGTTACAGTTGGTATCAGAATCAGACTCAATCCTTGATGCGGTGTGAGACGTCCGGGTAAGCAGGGTGGCCCGAAGGATCATTTGTCACCTATCGGATCTGGATGAAAAAATGATTGGGTATAAATAGATAAGTATATAATACCACCCAATAATTTGAATT